GCTCTCTGGGTTGAAAACCACGACACAACTACGGGAGAAGGAGGTAGTTCGTCGAGAAGAGGCTATACTGCCGGGAAACGGTATAATCACCGGAAAGTGTTGTGTAACGGTGCGGTTGCGATCACGCGACTGCCTTGCGCGCTAGTGGAGTGTTTCTTAGAGCCATTCTCACACAAAGCTAGCATCTCACCAGTAGGTTGTGCTTCTTCTGTCCAAACAGATGTAACGTTTCTTGAGTTTTATCGACAATCTCCTTTGGTTTGGTGTTGTTGAATCCGTGCACTAAAGAATTCATGTCAACAAAGAGATAATTTCATAGTGCATGAAAGAAGCTGGGTGCTCTTGTGGTACTCGCCGAAGCACAGTCCACGCTAATAGCATGGGTGGAGATAGTCAAGCATGGCACTTTCATCATTGGCGCTCTACTTTTACTACAATCTGTGAGGAAGAGGCGCTCCAATAAGAAAGTCACATGATAGTTGACTGTCCCTGCCCATGCAGTCTGAAATCACCGTCACCTCTTCCATCAGCTGTGATAACAGTCAACTCGGCGACGTCGTTGTTCATGGTTGATGTGAAACCTGCGACGATACTTTGCCCGGTTAATGAAGCCTCCCTGCAGGCGATTTCGCCATTCTCACCAATCGAACGTACATCGATCTGGAAGCATAAACCAGCTGACGGTACTGATATCACTGACAACACTGTATCACTTTCTACAGTGCTTTTTTGGTAGCACTGGAAGCTCTTTGAAAGCATTGAAAGCGCTTTGAGGCGGCCTGGATGAAGACTGAGAAACGCCGGGAGATCCCGGACGATCAGTCTCAATGTACATTCTTGTACATCCATCACAGCAGTTGGCCATCTGGGATCTACTCGAGCCCCCGAGCTCACAACCTTAGCCAGACCTCCACTTTAAACAATGAGGTCCATGGCATAACGAATAGTCCCATGAGCTAACGAACCTTTCCTGAATTCCAGACACATGTCATCATTTCCTCGTTTGGATAGGGCAAGATAGCAGTGATGACACTCTTGGATTTGATGCGCCAAAGGCGTTGATCCTGATGATACACACCGACAGTACCATTAGCCAGCGCATAGCCAAAGCGGCTCCTGAAAACGATAGATAACAAGTCTTTTTGCGACCCATTTTCCAAGTTGTTAAAGCGCGTCTTGAAGGTACAGTACACGTTGCTAGGAAAGGCGAAATCGTGGGCAAAGACAGTGAACGATCTGTTTTAATCGGTGACGGGCTCATCCTCATTTGCA